TCAATTTTCGGATCTCGATATCTTTTTATTATATAATGATTTTTTTTTTTTTTATTATTATTGATTAAGCATCAACTACAAAGGTTATTAGCTTAAATTATTACATTTTACATTATATAATGATTGATAACCAACCAATTGCTTATATCAATACTTGTATAAATCGTTGAACTAAAGACGTGGTTGAGTAGTTTACAATATTTAATATGATTCTAGATAGCTTTTTAAACAAATAGTCATACTAATAAAAATGTTGATTTTCGACAGGTAATGTGAATGTACATTGTATAGATTATAAATAGGTCACATTTATTATATGGTCACCATACGTATTTTATATCAAAATCGAAAGGATTTACGCTGAAAATTATCATTTGTGAGACATATTCTACGATAAATTTTGATGATTTACATGATAAAATAAGTTTAGGTTAAGTGATAAAGAGCCTTCATTCGATTGAACATATAAATTACATTTCTCAACAATTTGTTTTATTTGTTCATAAAAAAATTTGATAATTTTTTTTTAGATCATAGTTGAGTATACGAAGTTTTGTATTATTTTTTTTATAATATTTTAAAAAACGAAGCCTAATAAAAGTCAAGGTAAATCTTACAATGAATTAATATCGTAAATAATATAAATTTAGAATTTATAGTATATGGGGAAATTTGAAAAGCCCTATAAATACTCATTTCATTAGTTTTGCGTAATTTTTAATTTTTTGAGATTCTTAAGTATACTTAATGAAAATGTTCTTAACAACTTATATTTTTTATTCCATTCAAGGAGTATCTAATAATATTTTTATTTTTAAGAGAACCGTCTTTTTTAGTGTAAATTTATAAGCACATAAGCTCTAATATCTTTTAAACCTATTATCATTTATTGTGAACTTATTTTATTATCATCATGAAATAATTTTTAAATATTGTTTAATAACTCAGAAACTCTAATCGTTTAAATATGCTTCTATATTCATTAACATAAAAAAAAAAAAAAAATAAAAAAAAATATGAAATATCCAGTGAAAAAATAAAATATATAGCCGTAAAACGTTCATTAAATAACATAAACAGTATTGGAAAAATTATCTTTAAGTACACCCGCTTAAAAATTTCAAAAATCAGAAATTGAATACATTTCCACTCAAAGAATATAACGTGGTAAACAATATTTTATACACCTTGTGTATAAAATAAAACAGTTTTAAACATTCTACGATGGACCGTTTATAGGACTTGAGCTACAAAAAATACAGATTTATGTGTTGAGCATACCAATCAGTCTTCGAAAAAATATACCATTTCTAAAGGGAGAAAAACACGGTTTTTCGATATTCTTTGATACGTTAAGAGACTGTAGAATATATTATATATGCAATTTGTTTTTGTATAGGTGCTCTTTCTTTATACTATTCATACTTTTTCAAAATTAATATCACCGTTGTGTAAACTGAATGCGTTTTTAATACATAGAGAATATTGAATACATTTTATGACTACTGTGTACAATTTTTCCGGATCGAATTTAATACTAAATAAATCATAACTTTATCATATTAAGCAATGTACTTTTAAAGATAACTATGTACATATTAAACACAAGGCTTAATGCATGGCAGAAATCGACGAGTAAATATATTATTATCTTTGAGTATCGTAGAGATATTTTATGTTGTTATAATAAAATTACCAATTGCAACAAGGAATATAAAACACTTCAATATCATCTGAATGCCATTTAATGGTCGTAATTAGTAATGTTTCTGATTATACAATGTGCATAATATGTATATACATTTTACTATAGTATTATTTCAGCTATTTAAGATAACAAAAAAAAACGCTTGCCACTTCTTTGGAATTTCTCGTTCAAATAGTTTTCGGTGTGATTTATTTATAATACAAACATAAACAATGTAAAGAAATATGATTTTTCTTTCATGTTGATTATAATATTTAACAATTTTTTTCTCAATAGATTCTTTTAATTTTTATATGTATCTACAACGAAGTGTATATTATATATGTATCATAACGTATAGTATTCTGAACGTAAATAGATGATTCTAATACAATGTATTTATACTGATAATATAATGTAATAATATATGTTTATATTTTTATTTTTTGATAAAATAATTTATAAAGTAAATATCCGTAATAAATTAATATTTATATTTATGTAAAGCACTCTACAAGAATACATTTTTTTAAGAAATTATTTTAACAGTTTTCCAGCTGTTAATTAATTTGTTTTTTCAAACCAGCCATCTTATTATTTTAATTTCAAAATGAAGTGATGAATATGTAAGTTTTACTATAGTATGAGGTTTTATTACTGTTATTTTTATTTTTATTTGTGTTTCTGTTATATGTTCTGGAGCAGTAAAAATACTTAAATTTTAATTTCTAGAGGTAGCTTTCGGTACTATATTTGGCTTTAAAGGTCAAAACTAAATATTTTCAAAATAATTAAAAAATCTAAAAAAATAAAAAGCCAGCGAAAAATAGAAATATTTAGGCAACTTAAATTTATGACAAATAATATATGTTTTTTGTTTGTAATTAAAATAAACTAGTAATTATTTATTTAAAATTGTCACAAAATATTTTTATTAGTTATTTTTAAACATATCATTTTTTTAATTTTTTGCTGTTTGCTTTCGAATTTTTTCTGGGTTTTTAATTTTAGTATTTAAATCATTCAATAATACATTTTAATTTTACTCACATTAGCATCTATGTTCTGTGAAACTATTCAATTATTCACTTACTGTTCATCTGCGCAATTAAATTAAAACCAGGTATGTTAGTTCCGTAAAAAAATAATTAATTAATGCAAATTAAAAACTAATTAGATACCTTCCAATAAGCAATATTTATAAACAATAATATTTACTTTTACAACCCATAATATTTTTAATTTGTATTTAACCCTAATAATGTAGTTGTTATTATCATAATATTCAAAACACGTAATTTATGAGATGAATTAACATATTATTATGTACTTAAATTACTTAAATAATAATAATATATATATATATATATTTACCATAATAGATACCATAAAACACTCTCTCTTACATGTGTAACCTAACGCAGAATAGAAAAAAAAACAAAAGCACTTACGTGTAATTCATAGTGTTTTATTAACGATATAAACGCCTTAAAATGACATAATAATAAATACTTGGTTTTCAGAAAGTATATAAACTTTGGAAATATTTTTTTACATAATTTTAATTTAGCTTTTAATTTTTACTCTTATATCTAACCTAAAGAAATTTGTCAAATACACCGTTTATCTAAAATTTTAATAAATTTAAATACCTACCTAATTAACTAATTGTACAGAATTTAATTTTTAATATAAAATTTCAAAACAAAAATATTTTGCTTTAAAGTATACATTGAAAAACGTATAATTGTCGTTTCAAAAATTAAAAAACAAAAAAAAAAAAAACACTAAAAATGGTTAACAACAATATTTTTCACAAATTTACTTTTATAATTGATTTAAATTACATAAAAAAAAAATATGTAACTCGTGTTATTTGTTATTTATAATATTTTCTTTGAGAAAATGGTACATATTTCGTCCTTACAAACAACATGTTTATAAAAGTAAATACAATCTTTCTTTTGATTAACAAAAAATAATTACATACAAATTCACTTATAATAAAATAATTTAATTTAAAAATAATTCAAGTACAGACTACTTTAACGAACCAAACCGAGAGTTATACGTATACTTCAGTCATATAATATAAGTGAAGTGTAAGCTGTAGAGTGTTTTATTGGTGTTTATTATTGCATGGTTATACCTAAATGTCGATCCCCGTACATTTTAAATATCACCCAAAACGTAGTTATCATACATCGCAATCAAAGTTCATGTAGATAACATACGACTTAAGTTCCAAAAATATTTTTAAAAACATTTATACTTATATAGTAAGATTTGAATTTTAGAAAAATTACTCTGTAGATCAGATATAATATTATATAAAATACTGTTTCTGTGTATCCAACGAAAAATATGACAAAATCTCACTAAGTAAAATTAAACTATTAAAATACTTGAATTAAAGCTCAAGTTTGTCAATTTAAAAAAAAAAAATTTTTAGAGATTAAATTTTATCGTTTTTAAAAATACTATTAAATGGAAGAAGTTAAAATAAGAAAACATAAAATACCATAATATCATCGTTAGAATATATGTTTTATTAATAAGAAATAGGACATATTATAAATATATATATATTATATCGAGACTCGAATACATTTTCTCAAAATTTCCATTAGCTGTTGAAAATGTAAAGTAAACCTATGACATCACAGTTTACAAATGGAATTTAAGAATTTTCTATTTATCAATCATCAAATATACGAAGACGTTTGTTATCATGCAGTCATCATATATTCTTTCAAGAGAATAAATTATATACGAATATGTTTATCAAAATATGTTCACTGATATTTTGGTAGGATTACAATGCACGCAATGTATAAACCATCGTCGCGAAAATACTATATGATAGGTATATAAAACCAGCTTTTACATTTAAATGTCATCAATAATTACTACCATTGTATAACAAATTAAATTATTTTTTTCGTAAATATTACGAGAAAACACGCGTGCAAATAACCAGAACTCCCAAAACGTACAATCTCGCGTAGACCTGAATTTGGAAAATTTTTAAAAAATCGCGTCGACGATAAAAATAATTAAAAAAAAATAATAATTATGATAATTATAATGATAAAAAATTAGCAAATAAGAGATTAAAAAAAAAAAAAAAAAAAAACTAACGAGTTAATTGCAATAGATATCGGACAGGACAGACATATTTCATAATATCATTACAACGATTGTACGGCTATAATAAAATATATGGGAAGTCGGCTCTCTCGAGCGTAGTATAGTCGTCACAATAATAATATTATATTATGTTAAGTATATCGAAATGCGTGCACGTACTTACCTCGTGGAGTTCGAGCAGTCCGCGAACGACTGATGTGGTTCCGTGTGCGTACAGCGCGCCGAGTTCACTCGAACACAAATGCGCTACCGGTATGTGTGTCCCTGGCGCAAACGCTTAGAGCCCTCATTTTTATACACCGTGGCAGTGAAGTGACGGTGGTGGTAGTTTGCGGCGATAGGTGTACGCGTGCGGGTCGGAGCAGAACTACTCGGTAGCCGGTAAAACGTACATATTATAACCGTCGCCTCTCAGAGATGGTCGAAACTAGTAACACTACACTTCGATAATCCTCCGAGAGAAAGAACAAAAATAAATAAACCATATTGATGATGATGATAATAATAATAATAATAATAATAATAATGAAATAAAACTAGGTATTTACATTTAAACGCAAATGTAAATAGATATTTACGTTTTCATCGTATATAATGTTATCATGATTACTATGAATGCTGTAAAACGAGCGAAAAAAAAAACAATTCCGTAGCTTTGTTTTTTAACTGCAGCGCAACGACGCACGATACATGTATGGTTTTGAACTGCCAACGAAAAACGTTTCTCAAATCGAGCGATGTCGATAGGATTTTTTTGGATTTAGAAAAAAAATATAGTGCTTTAATTAATACAGTAATAGTCAACAAAATACCGTGTAACTAATAAAATAATAATAATTGAAGTACTGTGTAAACTGCACAAGATAATTAATATCCATATTCAACACTGACAATAAATTGTGAAAAATCAATTTTTTTTCTTAGATTTTATCGAATTAAATTTGATTTTTAACATCAGTTTATTTAAAAAATATATTTTTCGAGATAGGTACCTATGGTTTGGTAAAGTTCCTACTTTTAATAATTTTAAAAGACGCAAACACTGAAATAACCAGTAATTTATTGTTTATTAACATTTAAATTAGTGTAATACTGATCAAAATTTCTGTGTATCTATAAAATTATATTCAATTGACTATAACCAAAAACTATTAGCATATATTCATGTAAGCACTAGGCAGCCTATTATTAATATTACATATTGTATTGTTTAATATAATAAAATTATAAAAAACATTAAAAAAAAAGTATATTTTTTTAAAATTTTATAATTTAATTCAAATAAAATTGTTGATATTATACAAGTATGACGTGTAAATGTATACAAAAATAAACAAAAATATAATATTTATCAACTAAAACGATAGAAATATTCGCACACAATTATCGCATATATTATGTAATAATTATGTTTAAAATAGTTTGTACAATCTGAAGTATTATTATTATATTGTATAACTCTACTTCTACGATGAAATATATTTATTTATTTTTAATTCACTGCTATTTCAGGTTTTATAGCTTTTTTTGTTTTTTTTTTTTTGGCAAACGAAAAATATTATTTATATTCTGAAACAAGGTATTTTATCTTACTTTTTTTCACCAAAATATCGATTTTTTTTTTTTATTTAGAAACAATTAATACAAAAATATGTTATTTAAACATATAGCTCTTCGATTTCCGAACACATTCGTCTTCTTATATCCAAAAAAGTTTAAAACCAAAACCATGTACCAACACGTCAACCATGTCTTCCATCTCACAAAAGTATCTTTAACAATCTAGCAAACTTGCTGAAAAAAAAAAGTATTTGCTAAACACAAAAACCAGTCTTTCATTAACTATCTCTTCAATCTATCACCTAATAGTGGTAGCTTTTGGACTGCTACAAAAAAGGCTTTAAAATACAAAGCTCCACTCGATCCTATAATAAATCCCGATTGCAGTTTTGCATCTATTAATGTTGAAAAAATCAAACTGTTCAAAAAACATCTATCCAAAACTTTTACGCCTCACACTGATATTCAAATAACTCAACACATTGACTTAGTAAATCACTTTCTCGATATACTACTTCCTCTTTCTCCTCGTAAAAACATTTCTCTCTCAATGACGTAAATATAACCAATCAAAAAGAGTCTCAAAAAGTCTCCTGGCTTTGATCTGATAACCACAAAGGTAGCCAAGTCCCTTCTAAAAAGAGCCATTTTTCTACTCACAGTTATATATAACGATGTCTAAAACTGTCATACTTCCCACTACTTTAGAAATTCTCAGTTACAATTCTAATTCCACGACCCAATAAAACGCCTGATCAATCTTCCTCTTATCGACCAATAAGTCTCTTTTTACTTTTCTTTAGAAAAATTCTTGAAAGGCTAATTTTAAAAATAATTCACCTTCCATACATATCTTCCAATTTTATACTACCAAATACTCCATTTGACTTTCACGTCTCTCATTCTTCAATACGTCAGTTGCGCCATTTAATTGATGCCTTTTCTTTTTTGATCGAAAAACTACTGTAACTGCGTATTGTTGGACATATTACAAGCATTTGATAGATTATGGCACGAGGTTTTGCTTTAAAAAATTACAACCTTATAATTCCTCAACGTATTACTTGCAAATCAAAACTTATTTATCTGACCATTATTTTTAGGTCAAAGTTGGTTTATCATATTCGGTATAGCTAAGATTAGTACACGTGTTCCATAGAGGAAGTGTTTTTTTTCCTATATTATATAATATATCTACACTGCCGGTTAATCCACCTCTCCAAAAACAACCTTACCACTGTCTAATTTCCTTGAAATCCTTCAAGAAGGCTTAAAAAAAAGTGGTGGAATCTATTTAAGATTTAATAATTAAAAATGTAAATTAATAAAAATAGATATCAAGTTAAGGTGGTGTTATTACTGGTTGTCTTTTTCTATCATGTTACTCGTGTAAAAACTAATTTTTTATTACATTTTTTTATTTTCCCTTAGGAAGCAAATTGTAGATATCTATAAATAAATTATGAACGAAATAAACAATTAAGTTTAGAAGAATTGTCCAGTATCACTTCTCACTTCTAATAAAATGAAAAAATGATTATATATACAATTATATTCGATTAGTACTAGTAACTTAAACGTCAACATTTTCAAGAAAAAATTATGTTGTAGAATTTGAAATTAAAAAAAAAAAAACAGGAAAATTACTGAGTTGAGTAGGTTTTTGGTTTTTAATGTAGGTATCTCATCATTCAGAAGGTTATTGTTATGAATGAATTTAATTTGATAAAAAGTTTCATACAAAAAACGGTGTATCAGTATCTTAAGGTATTTTTTAATTTATTTTATGTTGCTATTAATAATTAAGGTTTTTGTGTTTACAGAGATAAAATTCTCTATAAGTTTTATTAAAATACTATTTAAATTTCTGTATTTATATAGTCATAACTACTATCACAACATTCGTAACTATTGTTTTTTTTTTTTTTTTTAAAGTACTACAATAATAATAATTATGAACAATGGTAAATAAAGAAACAATACATTTTTTAAATATAGTTCAAAAGTAATTTTTTATTATTTAGGTTGAACTGTTTTGAAGCAAAGATATCTCATATTTTATATTATTAGCTATTATTATATTATATCATATTTTAATAATTCAATAATAATATATTAAATAAAAGTCTGAATATTTAATATAAACAAGTCAATATTAATCCAAACATTTTAAAAATGTCTTTATGTATAGAAAGTAATAATATTTAAGTAATTGTGGAATTTTTTTAGTATCTACGATAAATATTTTTTATATTACAACAATACGTATGTATAACTAAAACGGTTATTTTTTTCTCACTTAAATATCAAATTTCGTCAATATTTGAACTTAAATGCATGAAAATAATGTGTACCAATGTATTAAATTTGCACAAAAAATAAATAAACATAATGTGGTATTCACAATGTGCTATAAAAACAACGTTTTATAAACTCCGTTTTCAATTTTCAAACTTTTTGACAATTTTGAATATCAATATAGTAAATACTTCGAAAAACCAAAATATTTTTAATACATTATTGTATCTATAAAAACCTATATAAATATTTTTAATGAAAATTTAAATAATGTACAGTAATTTATTTTTAAATTACAACATGAAAAATAACAAAACTAATTTTGTTGATAACTTAATGTTATATGTATTTCTATTTTTCATATATATTTTTTTTTATTTTTGTACTAAATTATGTTTATTAAAAAAGACACTGACGACACAAAATAAAAGATTTTTTTTCTAATCCAATACTTGAAGATTGTCAAACACATATAACAAAAATACTAATAATAATATTAAAAAAAAAAAAAAAAAAAACATCATTTCAATCCATAATTGTATTCATCACTCAGTGTAGAATCTGTATTGTTTATGATTGCAAAAAAAAAGTTTTATCGGTCTCATGCGAACCCTATACTCGTGGAAATGCGGAATTCAAAAGCGGAAAATGAACACAAAATTAAAAGTTTATATATCTATGTGTTATGCATGCATTATATTCTATTTTTGTATAGTAAAAAAAAAAAAAATTTAAAAAAACTGTCATGAATTAAAATAGAAATAAATTTTAGATACACTATAGGTACCTACCAATGAAGTAACTATGTATAATATTGTGTTCAACCGCAAACTGGATGTACGATTCGTAGAACAAGTTTTTTTGTAGTTTTACTAAATTAATGCGATAAAATATGATATATTAAATATTTAATCCATAATTTTAACTAATTTATAATATGCTTCCCTCTATAATATAAAATTTAAATTTAGTATATATTTTTAATAGCATGACATGTTAAAAAAAAAAAAATAAACATATCTACATACAGATCATATGCAAACGTATATAATATTTCCATGTAAATAAGCAGTATCTGATAGGCAGATCAGACCTAACTGTTTTTTTGTATTTATAATACTTACATTTAATACTTCGCAATTTGTTGAAAACCTCAACGGTTAAAAGAGTATTTTGATTAATTGAAATTATATTAATATTTTTGCATTTTTGTTTTAATCATTATTGTTATAGTTGGATACATTTGTTTTTAAAACTTATTTTTAATAATATACTTTTTGTTTTAAATATCGAAGTATAAATATATTACCGTTGTTTAGATTTTATCCTTGTAAAGGTAAAAGTTGATTTAAAAAAATAATATAATTATATATTGAAAAAAAAATGAAA